CAGCATTGCTGAGTGTCTGAGTTCACCTGCTAGTCAGGCTGAATCTCTAAGAGGGATTGGCATTGGGGACTCTCTCTAGGGCTGCCTGAGCTGCAGCAGGCTGAACTCCCACCCTGCCCTGGTCTGGAGAGGGGGTACCCAGGAAGCAGGAGCTGAGTGGGACATCTCAGGTACTAGTGTCTATGATTCTGAGTGTTCAATGTTGTCAGAGTGGGGCTGGCAGCTCCTGCTGGGCTCTGTTCTGTCTGGGGACCCCAAAAACGTGACTGCATCAGCAATGATGGGCAGCTGTGTGCATCCTGGTGACAGTCAGGGGTACAAGGAGCTGGTAGTAAGTGGAGCCAGCAGTAGCAGAGTCGTCCCACCCCAAGCGCTGCCCATGTTTCCTGTGTCCAGTCAGGTTTGGGGTCTGTCAGAGCCTGGCTGCTAATGAGATCTTTTGATTAGCACAGTCTTGGAGTTCAGAAGGCTCTGGGTTTGGGATGGAGGGTAGAAGGGACAAGACACAGGTAATGATGGTCACCTGCTCATCAACAGAAAATAGAGAGGAGGAATCACTACCTTTGATGAAATCAGCCCCCTGTGGCCCTCCTGCCACAAAGGGTACAGCTCCTGGGGGGTCAGGGCAGGAGATGAGACAGGGCTGTAGGGCTGGAACCTTGGGGATTCTCTGTCAGTTATCACTTCTCAGCCTCTATCCCCTGGAACAAGAATATAGGATGTCGCCTCAGGGTCCGCCCCCAACCCAGACTCCTGCTTTTCATGTGGCACAGGCCTCCTGCTTCCTGCCACCTGTGTGAACATAGGAACTACCACTCTGCAAAGGAGCAAGTTCCTTTGTCCAGCCCCTAGCTGCCTGGGCTCAGTAGGCCCCTGGCCCAAGACTAGTCCATTTTCTGAACCTAGCCTCCTTGCATCTCACAGTTTTTCACACCCATGCTTTCTTGGTTCCTCACACCATATCAGAGCATCACCTTGTGTCCCAACATGCTGGTAGGCCCTGGGGACCCAGGTCACACCATGGCCCACTATTTCCCAGTACCCTTCCAAGGTAAGGCTTAGAGTTCCCATCCTATCTATATGTGAGGCCTTCAAGCTCTGAGTGCAGAACCCCGGCCTAAGCTCTGAGACACTCCTCCTATCTCTGCAGCTGGGTGTAGTTGGAGGGTAGGTTGCTGGGTGCCAAGAGTCAGCACAGGATGTTGCGGGTGGGAGATCACTGGGGGTTACAGGGGCACAAAGGCATCCGGGAGCCAGAGGTTAGGCCTTGAGGGTACAGCCTGCAGAAAGGGAGCAATGAACCGACACTGGGCCTGGGATTGCCATTAGAGTCCCAGAGGGGTAGGACAGGTTCAGGGGGAGCACCTCGGAACTCCTGGGTATCCCATCCCTCCCCTATTTGGTGACCTCTCTGACCTCTACTTGCCCGTGTTGACCCCCTTGACTGCTGTCTGCCAGATGACTGTCATAAAGCTACACTTGTGTGGTAACTGCCTTGAATGGTGGGCATGGTTGCTCACCCATAGGTGATGTAATCAGAAAGGTCCTTCCCTTTCTGAGCCACCATGTGCTACAACACATTCCTGTAACCCCCTCTGGTGCAATTCAGAAAGCCAGGGCCTCAAGGTCCACTGGTGTGGCACTGGCCTCAGAGGCTGGTGAGATGGTGAGCCCAGCCAGACCCACTCGATCATGAGCAGGGCATTCTCAGGCCTTTCTCCTTGGTAATTCTCCATGACAGGACCCATTAGTGCCCCTGAGAACCTCTTTATCAGTAGACCTGCTGGGAGGCCACTTCCTCTCCTTCTCCTTGCCTCCTTCCCCATCCTCTCTCTCTTCCAACCCCTGCCAATCAGTTTTTTTCCTCTGATTGTTCTTGGTGTGACCATGCAACTCTCTCCATCCTGTGTTGGGGCCTCTTCATCCCCAACCATCAGCTGCCTGTGACCTAATGACCTCCAGCTTCTGTGAGACTTTAATTACCAGGTTTCCCAGTCCCAGCTTCTGAAAATGGGCTTGCTAGTTCCTGGCTTCCAAGGCTCTGCCCCCCACTGCCTATCCACTCTAACCTTGTCAGTTTGCAGCTGCTGAGAGCCTGGGACCCTGCCTGTCCCCCTTTCCCAACCTGTGCCACCTACAACTTTGACTGCCTGGTCTCTTATCAATGGTGTCCCTGGGGCTTGTGTCACACTTGTGGCAGGCCCTCCCCACACCCAGGCTGTTTGCCTAGGACAGGCCCCAGTAGGTTCAGGTTCCCCTCACCGGAACCTCCCTCTGCCCCAGTGGGCCAGCTGTGGGTTCATGCTAGACAAGGTGATAGGCAGGTGGGGGTATGCCATACTAAGTGGGAGCCTGACGTTAGAGCTTACCCGGGACCTGCCAGCTGGAGCTTGCTCTTTCATGAGCAGGTAGGAGCTGGAGGCAACAGGCAAGACTGTCAGAAGGACTGAACCTAGGGCTGGTGGAGCCCTGGGTGGGGGGTGGGGTGTGCAGGCTCTGATACAGCAGCTTGGGCCAGGATGTGGGGAGAAGGACCGACTGCCACTCATCCTGCTCCTTCAACATCCCAGCCATCTTAGTGGCACCTGAGGCCCCGTGCCCACAGGAACACAAATGTCCTGCCTTGTTCCTAGCCAGGGCTCTCTCTCCTAGTCTGGGGCTATGCTGGCCCATGCCTAGGTGGGGCAGACACGGGTAAGCTTTTCTCTGAAAAGCTGTCCTGCCTCCCCCACCCCGCTGAAACTAGCATAGCCCAGGCTTGGGAGAAATGTCACCTTCACATCCCAGTTTACAGTCAGAGCAGGGCTAGGCCCAGCAGCCTGGTTCTCCACATGACTGTGAGTGGTGGCAACTGCTCACCAAGCATGGGTCACCAACTTGAGTGACTCACCCTGGTATGAGGGTGTCACTGTGTACCCAGTCATGGATTATCCGGGTTGAGAACCTCTCCTGCTTGGTGGCAAGGGGCCATTTGTATCAACCTCCTGCTGTGAATGCTATTATTGTATTTAGTTCACAGAGAAGAAACTGTCACAGAGAGGTTGAGTCAGACTGTGAATGCTATTGTATTTAGTTCACAGAGAAGAAACTGTCACAGAGAGGTTGAGTCAGCTGTCCAGAGATGCACAGCTTATTAGTGGTAATGGGCTTTGAGATTCCCAGGCACTCAGGCTCCAGACACAACCTGGAGTTACTGATGTGGGAAGGAAGGATGCTGTGAAGTGACGAATACTTTTTCTAATGGGTCTCATGCCATCTAGGGCACAGAGTGTGAGTTTAGAGAAGAGGGGGCATTGATGCTGTGGAGCACAGTAGTTTTGAAGGACTAGAGCTGAATCCAGGAAAGCTTACCAGAGGGGGGTGACATGGGACCCAACTCCATGGGTCTTCCATGGGAAAATGGGAACATGGAGGGACAAGCCCAAGCCTATGGTCCTTCCCAGTTAAGGGAATGAAACTGGGGGTCAGGGGTCACACACAAGAAGGAAAGGTGTCCACACTTGGCTGAACAGTGAGGGGCCAGGAGGAAGTAAACCAATTGGAACTCCTGATCCTTTTTGCTGGGTTAGAAGTGGGGCTTTGGGGGACTTAGTGCTCCAGGGGTGACTTATCTGACTTCTGTCACCTCATTTGCAGATTATTGCTGTTGACATTAGCAGCTTCTCAGGGCATAGCAAGATGGTCTGTTCCAGTTAGTTCTGTTGAGCTCAACAGAGGAGTGGGAGCTGCGAAAACCCAGGGCTTGGCCAGCACATACGTTTGCAAGCCTCTGAGTCCAGGCTCCCAGGAGCCAGACTGGGCCTGTGTTTACCCACTCTAGCAGGAGTCAAGAGGTGTGTGGTCTTTCCCAGCTCACCCCTCAAACCCCCCAGTACCATGGGAGAAGGCAGTTGCTACATTTCTTGGGATTAGGAAACTCAACTGATCCTAACCTTCTACTATCTAGCTGTCCTAACCTTCTACAAGCCAGCACATACGTTTGCAAGCCTCTGAGCCCAGGCTCCCAGGAGCCAGACTGGGCCTGTGTTTACCCACTCTGGCAGGAGTCAAGAGGTGTGTGGTCTTTCCCAGCTCACCCCTCAAGCCCCCCAGTACCATGGGAGAAGGCAGTTGCTACATTTCTTGGGATTAGGGAACTCAACTGATCCTAACCTTCTACTATCTAGCTGTCCTAACCTTCTACTATCTAGCTGTCTGACTCTGGCAAACTGGTTGGTCTCTCTGGGCTTCCGTGTTTCTGTCAGTAGCACAGGGTAGAGGTGGTAAGAAATGCTTGCTTGTGGACATGTGAGGATGGAACAAGAGAGATGTAAGGGGCTGGGGATTTTGCTCGTTGATAGTGCTTGCCTAGGATGCACAAAATCCTGTTTTTGATACCTAGCACCACATTTAAAAACTACTTGGCTAGCAGGAGAGTTGACTCAGTGGTAGACAGCACACATTGCTCTTGCAGAGGACCTGAGTTCTATCCCCAGCATCCATGTTGGGCATCTCACAAGTGCCTGTAATTCCAGCTCCAGGAGAATCCATTGCCCCTGGCTTCCACAATTGTACACACATGTATAGGTACACACGCACACGCACACACACACCATAAAATAAACCTTAAAAACAACTGGGCCTGGGGACACATATCTGTAATCCCAGCACAAGGGATGTGGGAGCCAACAGGACCAGGCCTTCAAGACCATTTTCAGCTGCATAAGGAGTTCGAGGCTGCCCTGGGCTGCAGGAGACTGTGAGAGACATTCTTTGTTTTTAGGGACCAAAACCAGAACAGCAGAAAGGCCTTAGGCTGCCCCTTCCTGGTGGACCCCTAGCTCTGCTCCTGCCTGTCCACTCTTGTAACTGGCTCTGTGACACTGGACAGGTCGTATCCTCCTTGAGCCTCAGTTCTTCATGAACTCCTGGCAATTGAGGCTTCAGGAAGGGAAGGCAGGGAGGCCCTTGCCCTAGGAGAGCTGCCGAATGTGACACTGCCCTCTGCTCTGCTCTTGCAGTGGGAACGTCTGTGGTTCTTGCTCCTGGTCTGCACCTTCAGCCTCACCCTCACCTGGCTCTACTTCTGGTGGGAAGTCCACAATGACTACGATGAATTCAACTGGTAAGTGGAAGAATCCCCAGGGCCCAGCTCTCTTATGGCCTCGAGTGAGGCCCCCCTGGGAGCTCTGGCCTCACCCATCTGCAGGCCTTCAATGAAGGTCCTGTCACAGACTGGTAAGACAGGGAGAGCTCTGTGCCCCTGTGACTTTAGGAAGGCTTCCTGGAGGAGGAAACATGGGGAATAGCCTGAGCTGGCTCTTAGACACCTCCCTAAAACTTTACAAGGAGTCTCAGGTTGTTCTCTAGGCCCAGGCTGTGAGGAATGGGAACAGAAGGCAGAGCCATGTCAGCTTGAGGTGGAGTGCTGCTAGCTGCCTTTATAGACAAGAGCTCCAAAGCAAAGAGAGACCAAGGCCTGAGCAGAAGAGGCAGTCCCTAGCCTCAGGCTCCCTGGCTGGCAGATTCAGCTCCGCCACTTCAGGTCCATGGGCAGGGCCCTCCCTCACCTCCACCATTGCCAGCTTTTTGTTGACATGGACAGAGAAGAGGGTGCTCCTGAGAAATCTTCCACTGGTAGATTTTTAGAAACTGAGGCCCAAGTTCCCGGATCCAGTGTGGGGAGTCAGGGCTAGGGAGTGCTCTGGGTTTTTTCCCCCTCTGTGAGGTAGGGTAACTTGTCTCTTTAGGTTCTTGTGAGGACAAGATAGGGTGGGGGTGGGGCACAGAGCTGCTTCCTGGGAGGCTGAATCTCCATGGAGGGAGGCGAGGGCTCATAGCATGGGGCACCCCAGACTCTGATGGGCTGAGTCCAAGGATTCTGCTAGGACCCCAAGACTGCTAATGGGACATGAAGTCTGCTTCACCTGTGTGTTAGTTACTTTCCCATCGCTGTGACAAAATGCTTGACACAGCAGCTTCAGAAAGCTCCAGATTCCAGAGCACAGCCTGTCACAGTCATGGCAGCAGGAGCATGAGGCAGCTGCTTGTATCACCTCAGGATAAGGGAGTGGTGAATGCTGGTGCTCATCTTAACTCCTCCTTTTTAGGCCAGGACCCCTCTAGGTCACACAATAAGCTGATGATGGATCGGTGATGGGGGTGTAACCCTCAATACCTCCCCGATACTAGTAAGACTTAGCAGATGCCAGCCCTGTCTGGGAGGCAGCCACAGAGGTCTGCCTGTGAACTGCAGCTCCTTTGCCTGCCAACTGCTCCTTGGGAGGCTGGAGCTTCTCTTGATTCCCCGGGATTATTTCCTGCACAAAGAGGATGTAAGCACCAAGGATCAGCACTGGATGGGCATAGGCAGGGAGAGCCATATAGGGCTAGGAGTGTCCAACCTTTTGACATTGAGACCCAGTGCTGTTATCAACAGAGTTTATGCTAGGGACTACATAGTGGGATTATTGTGAACAAACAATTGCACCTAAAGTAACAAAACTCACAACCGTGTTTTATGGAAGTTCACAATTTGTCTTTAGCTATGTATGGCCCACAGTCTGCAGGTTGGACATACCTGGTAGGCTACTATGTATTTGTGCTGGAGGCTTTCCTGCCCATTGTGGCCACACTTGAGAGGCCAGTGGGACCAGAAAATCTTTCAGGATTAGCTCCAGGGCCAATTCCTGGCCTTCTTTGGGCCTCGGTTTCTCAAGTTGTACAATAAGATGAGCATGGTCTGTGATTTTCTGAGTGGTAGGCCTTCCCACTGGCTCAGAACAGGACCCTGGGTAGGGGTTGGGAGGCAGATGCCCCGTGGAGTCTTTCTGATGTCCCCTCCCAGCTCCTGGCAAGCTACTACCACGTGTCCTGACTCTGGCTTACTCCTCCATACCCTGAGTGAGTGACTTTATCCTTTGAGACTCTTTCCCTGCAGACACAAGGAGGCTGTGAGTGAGTCATCATTCGGGAGCAGCTAAGCTGCATCCTCCAGGACCCTTAAGAAGTTCAGTCCCTCTGTCTGCCCCGTCATCTGTTTATAGCAACACAACCTAAGGAAATAGAAATGCAGAAAGATGTGTCCATTTTCTCATTTTTGTGTTAGTTTATAAAGTGAATCATTGCAAGCTATGATATTCTGCTAATGGGAAGCTGGCTATATATGGCACATGAATGCAAGAAGACCACATGCTGCTTTAAAAAAAAAATCACATTTTCTCAGCATTTTTACTGGTGTCAGTGAATGCTTGTGTTAGGGGTGGTTTGTTATGTCCTTGACGCAAGCCTCCCTCCCTTCGTTCCCTGGAGCCGTGTGAAGGGCTTTCTCTTATCCCCACCCTACAGGTGAGCAGACTGGAGTGTTACATCTTATCAGTTCTAAGGCTCCATATTGTCACAGTTTGCCATTGAACTTGAGGTGAATGGCACAGTCAAGGGCATCTTAGAATCTGTGATGCCTGTCACCTCCACAAGGTCCTATGAGCCAGCAAGAGGCAGTGTGGGGATTAGATCCCCAGAGTGTGTTCCTCCCTCAGAACTGTGTTGACTATGCTCCTGAGGGTAGCAGGGGTGGGTGTTTATCCTAGATCAGCTGTTCACACACACACACACACACACACACACACACACACACACACACACACACACACACACATATACATATATATATATAGGTGCAGGGGCTAGTGGGAAGGAAGTCTAATAGTTTTCAGATCAGTGATTCTGGGAGCTTCTGGTGCAGGGGCCAGTGGGAAGGAAGTCTAATAGTTTTCAGATCAGTGATTCTGGGAGCTTCTGCTCCTTGCTTTGAGTGTCTACCAGAAGTAGGCCTGACTGATGATGAGGGAAACACTATTAGCCAACATGAGATGGGATGGACTTGCTTTAGCTCCTCAGCTGCAATGAGAACTAAATTAACCTAGTTCCTTGGCTAGGCAGTGGCCCAGTGGAGGTCTGACCTCTGCTCCTCTCTTCCCACCAGGTACCTCTACAACCGTATGGGCTACTGGAGCGACTGGTCCGTGCCGATTCTTGTGACCACAGCTGCTGCCTTCACATACATCGCAGGCCTCCTGGTATGGGTGGAGGGGTTCCCTTGGGCTCATGTAGGTCTGCTCCTAGTAGAGGGAGACATGGCCTGTGATGGGGGACACAGAGTACTGCTTCTGCTCAGGCCTCTTGAGTGTTGCTTGGGTCTGAGGCCTGAGTCCTCCAAGGTAGGAGGTCTCATTTTACGAGTCTCCTTCAGCTGTCCCTTTGGAAGCCCCTTCCCACCCCTACCCCAGCCCCTACCCCTGCCCCTAGGCCAACAAGAGCCATTCTGGCTTTCTGCACCTGCTACTGGCACCTACCAGAAAGGGCTGCCTACCCTCAATGTTCTCCACACTGAGAGACTCAGGTTGACCACATTCTGCACTAGAGGTTCCTGGGGACAGAGCGCAGGTCTGCTTCTGAGTCCTAGGACCTGGATATCCCAAACAGTTGATACATCGAGTTGAACAGTTTGTGTGCCAAAAACCAGGGACCTTTCACAGGGAAATTCCTAGAGGAGGAGGCTGGAGGCCTGGAGTAGTCTGGAAAGAGGCCAGGCCTGGATAGGGCTGGGCTGGGCATTCCTGGTGTCTGTGGGGAGGGTGTGCTGCCTGCCTAGGGTCAGACCAAGGGCAGGAGTGTGGAGCAGGGCATCTGGAGAGCTGGCAAAGCTTTCTAGTCACACTTGGCTTGACTGGCCCCCTGGGCCCCTCTTCAGGTCCTGGCACTATGTCACATCGCTGTGGGGCAGCAGATGAACCTGTACTGGATGCACAAGGTAAGGGGAAGCTGCTCTCCTGGGGAAGGGGAAGAGGGCTGGAAGCAGGGACCAGCCTGGGTGGTCGCTCCCCTGAGTCACCTCTGCAACTGCTCTTCCTGTTCCACTGAACTTTTACTCTACCGGTACCCTCTGGCCCAGCTTGCCTTCATTCCTTTAAGCCTCACAGCCCTACAATGTAGGCACAGCCACCATCCCACTTTACAGAGGCAAAAAACAGAGAGGTTAGTCAACATTCCTAAGGTCTCACAGCTTGAGGGGAAGGCCCAGGATTCAGCCCTGCAGCCATGCACGTACCAGCATCAGCTCAACTTGGCTCCCACCTCCCCTGCTGGCTTCAGTGAGTTTGGGTTATAGTGCCTGGGATGACCCAGACTGCCCTGGTCTGGTCTTGATGACCTTCTGCTGCTGCCACGAGATAGTCACCTATCGCTGTGGGGGACATCATTCCCACCCATCAACACGTCCACCTTTTCTTGGCTTTTAGCCCCTTGCTCTGGCCCTCATTTACTCACTCTTTCTCTTCAAGCCCTTCCTGTTATTTGAACCCTCCCTGTGCAGCTTGTGTCCCAAGGGTTCTCCCCAGCCCCAGGCAGCCTCCCCTCTCTCCCAGATGCCTTGTAGAACATTTGTGTTATCAATTTTTATCAGGCTCTTGATCCCAAACCACTCCAGTTTGGTGCTCCTTGAAGACTAAACTGGCACTGATCACTTCCCTGTTGTTTGTCCCCAGTGTTCACTCATTCCGGAGGTCCCAGGATGACCTCATCTCTCTCTCTCTCTCTCTCTCTCTCTCTCTCTCTCTCTCTCGCTCTCTCGCTCTCGCTCTCTTTCTCTCTCTCTCTCTCTCTCTCTCGCTCTCTCGCTCTCGCTCTCTTTCTCTCTCTCTCTCTCTCTCTCTCACACACACACACACACACACACACACACACACCCATACACACACACATGCACACACGTGCTGAGTGTAGGTTGTTAAAATGCCTGCTCTGCTTGAACAGGGCCAGGGAATTGGCCCAGTCCTGGCTAAGATAGAGCCACCCCCTCTGGTAGCCCCAGAGTGTAGAGGGAGGGGTGGGTCATCTCTTTTCCTAGAGCATGACTAGGAGTGAGCACACCATCTAAGAAGGGGCAGAAATACCTGGAAACAAAATGGACCCTTGAGACTGCCCAGCTAGGAGGACAGAAAGAGGGAGACAGGACACAGATGGTCATGAGTTGGGCATGTGGAGCAGGAGGTGACAGTGAGCAGTAGGGGGCACCTTGGGAACCAGGCCTAGGTGACCAAAGTCATTCAGGGATGAAGAGAACAGTGGACCAGTCCCCGCTGGTGACTCTCTCCTGAGGACTGCTCTGGGGCTTCCTCAGCCCCTCCCACCCCACCCCACCCCA